TCTTTCTCTCCCCTTCTTTCTCTAGCTCACACACTCTCTCTCTCTCTCTCTCTCTCTCTCTCTCTCTCTCTCTCACTCACTCACTCACTCACTCTCTTTCTCTTTCTCTGGCTTACTCTCTCTCTCTCTCTCTCTCTCTCTCTCTCTCTCTCTCTCTCTCTCTTCTCGCTTTGGCATTCTGACACACGGATGGATCAGCCCTGGTCGGAGGATTCGCGCACTCTCGTGGTCTCGTGCGCTTGGGGAACGAGACGCACGGTTTTCGTGTATCGTTTCTCACTGCTTCTCCCCGACCATTTCCACCGAAACGGCGAAAAAAGTACGATGTTTGAAGATCGAGAACTTTTTAGCCGAAGCTCTTCGATCGATCATCGCCACTGTGCAACGAATTGCCGATCTAGCTGGACAGAAGATATTGAAACGATCATGAAAATCGTTCGATCTGCATAGTTACCGAAGAATATCTAAAGGCAAAGCTCGGTTTCAATTGCCATTGGACGTAGATTGCTTAATAACTGAAACTAATATTATGGCGTGCGCATATACGGTAGCCTTTCTCAATAATTGTAACCTACGTGCCTGAGGATCTTTCGTTTCCACAATGTTACTAACGGTAACAATGTTACTAATGTTCTCGCCATTCTCTATACTCTGTAATATTTTGTAGTATGTTGCAATAAATCTCATGAGAGATTTTCTTAAAAAAAAAACAACATCTAAAAGAACTGAAAGAACCGTAAATGAATTTTTCGAACCTCTTGGTACCTGCCCAAAGTTCATACCTTTATGCTCAAAATGACCGGTTTCACATTTATTATTTAAAGTTGTTGTTGAAATTGTAAAACTTTTTCGTAGGAAATGACTAAATCAATATCTTAATTCGAGGATACATTGTAATGAAAGTGGTGGCAAATCTAAATACATTCAATATTGTAATTCTTGTAACACGTGTCAGCCACTTTTAGTGCTCGGTAAGTTTATTGTTAAGCTAAAGTGAATAATACTTCATTATTTTATAATATAAATATGTTTGCTAGTTCCTAACTTTACTCGGAACTATACAATGTGGTTGTTAACAATTGTTGTTTCTTTTTATATCATTGTATGCTTTAATTAACGATATATTAATTTATTACTATTAACAATACTTCAAACTGCTTGAAGCTGCGTTTGTTCGAGTAGCACTATCGTTTAACTATATCGAAAATGTAACAAAAAAGAAACGAAGTGAGTGTCCATTTTATTATTCTTTATTTTGTATTTCACTATTCTTACCTAAAAGCTCGGTTTTGCTGTTAAGCGTGTTTCATTATTAATAATTTATTATTCCGTAGATCTTCGTGCGAAATAAAAATATTCTACACATCTGACTAGTATCAGGAGTCACGTTGGAATTTCTTTCTTCCTGTAACAATTTTAATAGATTATATTCGCACTTTTCCATTCGTTGATTTTTCTGGCATTTCAAATCTTATTTAAGTAATAAAAAAAGACTGATTCATGAAAAATGTGGGCCTTGTTAATATCTGACAGCATCCTAAGTATAGCAACTGATAAATTGAGTAAATTCGTCCAGCTAGATTGACAATACTGTAACACTGTGTCACGATCCGACTTGTTCTCCAAACTCTCCCCCTCTTTCTCTCTCTCTCTCTCTCCCTCTTTTCTCTGTCCCCTATGATAAGGAACTCCCAGCGCTAGTCTGATAAAAGTTTCATCGAAACACGAGGGTGAACGCTCAAACTTCGAATCGAGCCGGAGTCAGCTATCGATATTGGTTCCCGATACAATTGAAACTTGCGGACTGAATGGATTGATGCTTCGACCTGAAAGTATTTGACTGTTCAAGGTCACTGAGCCGACCGTCCGCTATCGTGCCCGACACAGGAAATAAACGGCTGGCTCGTGTCGTGTCTCTTTCGTCTATGTATTCGTGTAGCACACGGTACAGAAGTTTTCTATCACGTGTCAGTCACGGCGATAGTATATTTAGCTTGAGAATTATTAGTGGACCGTGAGTTTCGTTATTGATAGCGCTAGGAGACATTCGAAGCATGACGGAATAATAAATTTCGTTTTTTCTTTTACTTTTTTGTTCGCGTTGCAAAATTTTCGTCTGTAAAAAAAAGTAGGATTCGCGGATCATTTATTATAGTAATTATGAGACTTTATCTTGAAAAGGTGAGAATTTTCCAACGAATCTTTCGGTTCTAATTAAAAATTCAATGATCGAATGTCGCTTTAAATTCAAATAGAAAAAGAGAAATTAAACGTTACTTTCATAAACATTAAGACAACGATATAAATCTTTCATATATTGAACAGAAATTCTCCCTTCGCACTAGATTACATCCAAATGACGCTTTCCAAATGTTAGAATTTACGATTACAGAAATTTTGAGATCACATTTTTGTGGACATGTATTATGATAAAAATCGTTAAAAATCTGTGCAGATATAAGCTTGTTATTTTCTCGAAGCGATATAAACTTCCAGCTGTTTTTTTATAATGTTCTGTAAACTTAATGTTAAAGTTTATAATTCTTACAACAATATTACATAATTTCACACCGCTTAAAAAACGCGATAATTAAGATTTCGATGAAAATATAAATCAAAATAATTTCGGATGCAGTTGCGAGAAATTACAATGCGCGAACGTACCTAAACGATGTATCTTTTTCAGTGGACCTTGAAAAATCAATACTTTCCGCTCTGCGGGTGTAAAGTATTCTATGCATTTTCGATACGAATTGCTAATTGCAATCGAATTTATACGAAGAGAGGCAGCATCAATGATCAACTAAATATTTAGCGAGTACTTTGATTATCCATTTCTGGTTTCTGTACATTGGCTGCCGCGGTCTCAGTTAATTCCGAGCGATACAAATCGAAATTATAAGCCCAAACATTTCGTCAGCAGAACGAAATTACGGTGTTAACGAACGCGCGCGGCGGCGTTCGGTCGCTGTTTATTTGCTTGCATAGCAGTGAATTACGTTCGCAGGGCAAAAATCGATTCAGATTGCCGCATGCGACAATTACCAGTCGCGCTGACGATATACAGGGTGTTCTAACAGGCGTGACACAAACGGAAGCATATTTCGCGGTTCGTCGAATTCTGAGTCACGTTTTCCATTTTCGTCGTCGTCGTCGTCGTTGCTGTTTTATCATCGTAAAATACATATACCGGAAAAACTGACTCCGGAAGTACCCCCTTCGGCTCGTTACAAAGAACCATACAAAATTCCGTAACTAATTAATGCTATTGTTTGCGTTACTACTTCCCAAAAAGGGATCGTTCGACGCGGTCTCTCGGAACGACCTGAACAATTCCACGTCGCTTCGCGCTATAATACAAAAAACTCGCTTTTCGGTGACAGTACAGTCGAACGTGGTCAGAACGAAAACACAGGTAACGGAAAACAAACAAACGTAAAACAAAACAAAACAAAACAAAACAAAAAGCGCAGGAGAAACACAGGGTGTATTAGTCGGTAGACAACAGAAATGAAAGGAGGACGGGAACAGGGAGTCGTGGAAAACGTCAAATAAAAATAAAATAACGTGTACGGCACCCTATTTATTATCAACAACTCATACACGCAGCGAAAGATTTATTCGATTTTTGCAAGAAGAAAAAAAAGAAAAGAAAATTCTTCCGTTCCTTACGCTACGAGTACCATACTCTAAAACGATTGTTCGACGCGCAAGCGTTAAGCTAGAATCCGAACGGAACCGAGAATCCTTTCTAGACGCTGAACAAAACGCATAACGATTTACGCTGGTCAATAATATGCAGTCTTACGCGCGTTCTCGTCGAGCTGGTACAAAACAAAAATGGGAACAAAAGGAATTAGCAATACCGCGTGCCGTGATTACAAATAAAGACTCTAGGACTGTAATAGAACGATACGGGAATATGGTGGTAATACAACAAATACGGTGTGAACAAAAAAGAGAAACCGAACGCGCTTCTGGTCGCGTACCGTATAAAAGTCGAAAAAAGGAATCGTCGATTCCAGGCTTTCTCTTCTCTTTATATATAAAATACCTTCACGGTTCTCGATAAAACTAACTTGAGCATTCGATTCCATCGCGAAACCATCATCGTCGCTGTGCGAAACGACCGGGTCGCCTCGATAAAATCTTAGCAGTCGACGGACGGACGGATATAACCTAGGATCGTCCTAGAAAATACTCTACTCTCTATTCGGAGCTCTAGAAAAAAGAAAAAAAAAAGAAAAAGAAAAAGAACAAGTACTCTGATCAAGTGAACAATCGATCGATCATGGTGAGTTCGGCTGCCGTACGATCGTCTCGAAGACACGCGAGTCGCGAAAGCAGTATCATTGTTCCAACAGAGGCTGAATAATCGCGATAGGAATGATGGAACAACCATAGCGACCACCTGCCAGCTTTTAGGTATCACTGTACGACCGATCTCTTCGTTGTTGGCTTCGTCGAGCACCGACATGCTTCACAAGTGACCTTGCGTAGCCTCGACCCGGATCCTTCATAGTGGAGAGCAGGATTTCTGAGACATAGGGTACCTCTGATTCCGTTTCAGATTGCTATAGTCTCGAGATTTTCAATGTCCAGAAACTCGAAGGATTCTGCAAAGATAGAGAATCGAGAAGGTAGTCCCCGATCTGCTCCCCGCTACGGCGAAGATCTAGAAGACCAGTTCCCGAGACGAAGACACGGTCGGACGGGTCCTGGAGCCTAAAAAAGGCAGTCGCGACAGTTGTTCCATTGTCAATTAGATCGAGCAGTGACACGTTAGCCTCGAGTGGCGCTTAGAAGCTCTCGGATTTGACGAGATTGTGCTGATGCTTCAATCCCTCGATCAAATCCATGTGATGGGGCGGCTCGATTACGTTCACTTTGCGCTCCCTGAAATATTCTCGCCTCTGTTTGTGGCTATCCAGAATCGAGCAGGCGGTCGTCTCGTTTTCCCTATCTCTGCTCGGTTCGATCCGATCGTCCTGATCGCTCACCTGGACAATACTGTCTGGGATGGGCAACGGCTTGGCCACGCCGATGCGAACGGTGCCCTTCGGCGCGCCCTTCAACGCCTGCACCGCCTGGTCCAAGGTCGCGTTCTCCAAGGCAATGTCGTTCACGAACAGGAGCCGGTCGCCCGGTATCAATTGCCCGTCCACCTGGGCTACGCCCCCAGGAACGAGCGATCTTATTACTATCACAGTCTCGTTGGGGTTCATTGGATCCTGGAAATGGCAGACAGGTTCCTTGTTGGATCAATCGTTCCCTACACGGCTGGCAACCCCGGCCGAACTCAGGGTCCATTTCGATTCCCTACACGTTTCTCTCCAGGGTTATATTCGGAAAAGCTGCTAGATTCGGCTAGAAATGGGGAAAGTATGGAGGTGAAGGAACATTAACCCTTTGGAGTCTATCGGGACATACGTGTCCCACTTGTATTTGGGACAAGTGTATTAATATACACTTAACAATTAAGTACGTTAACATTAATATACAACTTGTATTAATATTTATACGTATTTCGAACGCCTGTTGCGAGAAATGAATCCCGTTTTTCCACAATACACAAATATACCGGTCTTAGAATGCATATCATGCATACATTTGTTTACATGTCCCAGCCCTTTGCGTTTAAAATGGATATAACCTACACTAATAAAATCAACATTTCTTGTTGTTAGCATCTACATGTACGTAAACCTTGACTTCAAATACAACGCAAATTAACGAAAAATAAAGCGGACTCCAAAGGGTTAAGAACGAATGGGAAATGCTTTACCAAGACTCTCCACTCCTTCAGCAGTGCCAAGGCACATTCCACTCCTTAAAATTCCCTCTCTACCATTCTGTATCCACTTCTAGCCAAATCCAGCAGCTTTCACGCAACCCTGTTTATCTTCCATTACGTATTTCAACTTCAACACAAGAGCGATAAACCGAAGTATATTCGTCGTATGGGTTCGATTAGACCTTGAGTCCGCCATATGGTCGATTGTGAAACGGTAAGCCGTTCGAGAGTCAACAGAATGAACGTGGAGCTGGGCTTTTCAATCTTACACCTGGCTCTATTTTTAAATGATTTATATCTTCCACCTGTAGAAACGAATGCGTTTTCGATTCTAAGGTACAGTGATTGACAAAAATAATCAGGCGGATATTTTTGTGAAATACAGACTATCAATTGTAAGTTGCGATAGTCTGAATTAGTCCAACCCTTTTACTGTTTCAACCCCTTGCTTTATTACATCGTGTGAAACTCGTTATGAAGATTACAATTCAATAAATGTGGACGTTGTGTTCACGTCATTTAAATAGAAATCAAATTCTACTCCTCTGTTATCAATATTTAAACGTCGATGTAAAGGTTGACATACGATAAATGTAGATTATATTTTCATGTCGGAACTTATTATACATAAAGAAGGGATAGTAGCTGTGAAAGAAATTGCAAGGGGTTAAATTTCAGCTGCTCACTTTGTTGCAAATGTTTACACACGGTCTGTTTGGAAAGTATCCTTCTTTCGAAGATATCTTTGCATCTGTATGTCCTATTGAAACAATATTGTATTCATCGTTTAGGCTGAGGGTCCATTAGAGAGAATTTACTGTATATTCAAAAAGGTAATCGAAAGTGACGGAATATGGGTCTATGTCTATCACCCTGAGACAAAAAACCGATCTTCCGAGTGGGAGACGGTTGGAGAACCACGACCCTACCCCCAAAAAACGTGACGCGACAGCTGGTTGTAATTACGACGGATATAGAAGAAAAGTGTTTCCGCGAGTGTGGAAGATTCACTGGAAAAAGGTTGCGGGACATAGTGAGGGACATGATTACTATTGAGGAAGATTAACCCTTTACACTCGACTGGCGACTCCGAGGCACCAATAAAAACTGTTACGTCGCGTTTCAAAAGAATTTTATTAATCAAATTCGTTTATATTTAAAGAACTGTCGAAAGCGCACGAGTCACAAAATTCAATTTCATATGTTCAAAATGCACCAGGTTATATGAAATGAAAATACCATGGGTCAGAAAAACTATATTAAATTTTGCGTTAACTTGGCTTCGAGTGCAAAGGGTTAACAATTTCGTCTGATTATGCCACAAAGCACGATACTTTCCGGACAAACCACGTAAAATCCATTGTATAAAAATGCAAGAGGTGTTAACTGAATACAGTGAAAAATAACTCTAAAAATCAGACTGTACAATTAACAAACGCTGTTTAAAGAGAAAAATATAAAAATATATATCTTGAGATTTTGAAAAGTTATGACCTTGGTTGAAAATCCATAAATATCTGTAGCGCGTATCTACTTCTTTAAAACTACACTGTTTCTTCAGAAATATTTTCAAATGTTACTGAAAGCAATGGAGATGTTCAAAGTTCCTTATGTTCAAATAAAGATTTCTAATGATGAGCAATGATCTACTTGATGGTTCAGAAACGACACGACTCTACTTCTTGCGGAATAGAAGTTCAGTAATTTCTCCCAGAAATGCCAGATTTCGGGTAGCTGTGAATTTCCCTGTGCGAAATTTAATTGCGTAATACGTAATTTATTGCTACGTCAATGCTAAGGGTCGACGGAGTCGGTCAAGCGCGTAATGCGGCACGCGGCGCGAATTCCTGGAAAACAACAAAAAGTGGTCTGTTTGGGTGTGACTCAAGTAAGAAAAACCGCGGTGCTACAAGGTACAGTAAATTCTCCTTAATTCGCGGTCAGAAGAGGAGATACGATTATTCGAGCCTTGCGGCTCGTTTTTATAATTGTTGACATCCGTAACTATAAAAACCAGCCGCAAAGCTCGAATAGTCGTATCTCTTCTTCCCAAATTGTCCATTTTTCTGCACAATCTGAACGCGTAATACGTGACCGTCGAATCGTGGCATATGGCTTCCGAATTGCCTTCGAATCGTGTCACGTGGCCTCCGAATTGCCTTCGAATCGTGGAATGTGGCTTCCGAATTGCCTTCGAATCGTGTCACGTGGCCTCCGAATTGCCTTCGAATCGTGGAATGTGGCTTCCGAATTGTCTTCGAATCGTGGAATATGGCATCCGAATTGTCTTCGAATCGTGGAATATGGCCTCCGAATTGCCTTCAAATCGTGGAATATGGCCTCCGAATTGCCTTCGAATCGTGGAATATGGCTTCCGAATTGCCTTCGAATTGTGGCAAAAAATTAGAAATAAAAAGGTTAAGTCATCGTTTCTATTTTAACATTACTATGTATTCGTATTAATTTTTTGGCGACTGTCCCGAGTTTCTATAAAAACGAGCAATGAGATCCAAAGAATCGCGACTTAGTATTCTCAGATCTGCCGGTTTCAATTCCGACCTTCGAACATTTCTGGGAGAGAAATTACTGTGTACTCAGATAATAATTTATCGCGATTATCCTGATATAAATTTTAGATTCAAAGGACAAACAACCGCGGGAGTTGTTTTTCAATAGTTGAGAAGAATCGTTTGAGAAGAAAATAACGATTCAGCCATCTTCGGGGTTATCGATATTGCAGTACCGACTGAGGGAAGATGCGAAGATCGTTCGTCGACGTTACCTGATAATCCAAAATGGAGAACCCAAGGCCCCGCTCTCCCTTTACCAATTCAATGATCTGCGGTTCGGAGCTCCACATCGCAAGGCCAGTCAGCGGTTCCAAGGAACGTGACTTCATCTTGTTCAAGCTGGCATCGGTCACGGTAGCAGTGGTGGTCGTCGAGGCCAACGAGCCATCGGACTTCGCTTTAACAAGTCGGTCCATCGTGGGCAACAAGTTCTGCAATGATCCGCCCAGAATGCTCTGCGTAAAAGAAATCGGACACCGTTTAATGCGAAATTATTTGAAGGTGTAGGCAGTATTCGGCGCCAGTTCCGAGAATGATTCTTCATAATCGTATGAAATGAACAATCGGCATATAAATGTTCCTCAAGCTTCGATTTTTAATTATTAACCAATCGGAAGTGGCATTGATAAAATTTTACTTCTAACTTGCAGTTATTCTATTTTTAATTTTCGTCTAAACTGCTATGAAAAATCATCTACAATTATGCTCCCATTCTGTGTACTCAAACGTTTTTAAATAGTTTACGAAAGAATTAATAAATTTTTTGTTCAACGCAATCTCCGTGTTACACTGAACAAGGTTACACTGAACGAATGTAATTAAAGGATAAGATCAATGTGAACAGAATTCGTTTAACCCTGGTGTATCGTTCGGTGGCGGTACAGCGTGAAAACAAACTATTAGCTTTTAAATTATAATATTTAGTAAATAATACAAATTGATTTAATACTACGAGTTTGTATATAAAAGCGTTTTTATTGGTTTACAAGCATGTTTTCCCTCGGGTTTACAATGTTTACCCGGGGGAAGGTACAGTGTTGCGCCCTTCGACGAAGAGAATATTACAATATCATCGTAGGACAGTCAGCATATATTTATATTTCTCTGTGATCTGATTGTTGCAAATTTAAAGGAATAGTAGCAAATATAGAAACACGTAAAAATGCTAAAAGTTAGTCATACAATAATAATAAGTTACGCTATATTACGGATTAGGAATTGACGTTAAATAGAAGAAATGCAAATAAAATGAAGATGATACTTTAAATTACGACTAAAATAAGGTTTCAAGAGCCTACGTAGCGATTATATAAATAATAATGAAAATAAAACAGTGGATAGAGCAGATGGAGTATAAACAACGAGTAAAAGAAGAAAGTGCTAAACTAGCGTACGGCACAAAATAAAATTATGTTCAAGAGTTATAAATATAATGTTTTGTTAATTCGAGTGACAGGTAACGAGTCTCCGCGATGACTTGGATATCAACTGTGATCCAATTTCACATAGAAAATATTCATGTAACGCGTGACGCCTGAACGGTGCGCTTGGGTTAATTGAGAAACTTCTATGACACACGACGCATTTAAATATTAAGATTCCGACTTCAGGACGAACAGAACCGAGCGTACAGAGGCTGAGGCTATCATAAGCTCCATTTAAATAATTGATGAATATTCAGCATCTTACCCTGGTCTGGAACGCAGCCTGATGTTGGGCCGTGTCGATCGGGCAGAGAGGATCCTGCGACGCAATGTTCCTTCCGCAAACCATTCGAACGTGGATAGGTAATTCTTTTAACACGCTAACTACTTCCATGTGGTTAATACCGAGCAACCGATATCCGTTCACCTTGCGAACAGAAAGATACATACAGTTAAATCGAATCTAGCTTCAGAGTCACGCTATATTTTATACTTTTCAAATAATTAACCACATTTGAAACTGTTATGATTTCGCTGAGAAACGAATTGCACAGCAATTGCACACTCATTTTAAAGTCCCTACTTTTGCAATCTGTTGTGCATTTAAAAAAAAAATGTACAGTAAATTCTCCCTAATTGTACTTCAGTTTGCAAATCAAAATGGACAATTTGGGAAGGGGAGATACGATTATTCGAGCCTCACGGTTCGTTTTTTATTGTCAACAATTATAAAAACGATCTCCTCTTCCCAAATTATCTACTTTTGTTCACAAGCTAAACGACAATTGAGGAGAATTTATTATATTGTCCAAGAGAAACCGAAGACGTTTTCCCTGAAAAATACTATGAAACGGTTCTGAAGACATTGGAAAATATTTTTTCGTGACTGAATCTATCATAGATTTGAAGATTGAAGCATCCCCTTCGCAATAACATCCCAGATGTTGACATAGTAGTTTCCGAGGGGTCCTTATACTTATTCCCCACTTATGTTCCATAAAGAAAGCTAATAAGAGATCGTATAAAAAGTTTAAGGGAATTGTCGTAAAGAGGTCTCTTCAATTTTCAAATCTATGGTAGGTTCAGTCACAAAACAAATTCTCCAATGTTTCTAGAGACATTTTAATTCATAGCATTTTCTTGGGAGATAGCCCTTTTCCAACAGTTGTTACATACAATAATATCATATCAGGAAAGAAACAATGGATTGTGAAAGTAGAAGTTTCGAGGTATGGAACGAGCCAGGTTCATCGTTGTACAACTTATTTTTAGGAAATTATAACAGTTTCAATATCAACGATTTGAACTGCATAGTTAATATAAAGTTCTCGATTTCTGAGACCGAGTTCTCAATGTAATACGTTTCATCGTAATTTCTCCATCCATTTGGCTCGCGGCCCGATTTCAAAATTTCTTTTATTCCCTGTTAAATTTTTCGATACTTTCTAAACGCTAGGGCAACAGAACGTAACTTCAAGAAATGAGTCTAACCTCAGAAAATATGACGCAATAAAAGATACTGTAATAAAAATTCGAATGGAACAAGCACATCTGTGTTCGAAACTTTTATGATAGAATTTCACAGGGAACAGAATCATGGATAAGCTAAATTTTCGAAAATGTCATAACTAGACTGCGGACTTTAATGCAAAATAAAAATTGTTTGAGTTGATTATAAATGTCTTTCCCCGTTTAACGATTTTAATCAGACATACGTAATATAAAAATATATTTTTAAATTTTGTTTTTAACAGTTTGACTGTCACGCGAACAACCTCGACAATTTCATAGAAACAAAATATTTTATTTAATCAAATTAAAATTGGAAAGTTAGGGTTGTGGGACATCGATTACTTTTTAAACACTCATACGTTCAACGGATCTTAATCAAATTAGGAAAATGAAATAAATTGGCGTAAAAATTAATTTTCCATTCCGAGGAAGTAATTCCGTCACCCATGCATGAGTATTCAATTCTGTTGAATAATGCATAAGATCCGCAGTGCAGTGATAACCAAACGGTCGAAACAATCTTCCTCGAAGAGAATCAGACCATCTCGAACGCGTTATTTCCGAAACACCGCGTATATAATTTCATGTTAGTCGAATAACCGGGCGCGAAAGTTCGGGTTAGTATCAGCTTCCCGGAGGCGTTAATTCGAATTACATTAAGTCCGAGACAGCATACTGAAACTTTGGCTCGTGAACGGTATTCTAACGTTACCTCCAGCAATTCGTCCCCGGAACGCAGTGTTCCATTCTGACCCACGGGCCCTTCCGGCAGAATCGATCGTATATAGTGATGGGGTCTGACTTCCTGGCCGTTTTCGACGTCGACCGTTCCCTCCAAGCTTATGCCAAGACCGCTGCCCTCCGCGAATTTTTTCAACTGTGCCACCTACGGAAAATCGAAATGGAAATTCAGTAGAAATTCTTTCCATAACTTTCACAATTTTTGCTTTGCGAATGACAGTTATTGTAGAAATACAGTAAATTCTCGCTAATCGACGCTCAGATTATGCGCAAAAACGGACAATTTGGAAAGAGGAGGTACGATTATTCGAGCTTTTCGACTCGCTTTTATATAAATAACCTTGTCAACAACTATAAAAACGAGCTGCAACGCTCGAATAATCGTATCTCGTCTTCTCAAATTGTGCATTTTTGTGCACAATCTGAGCATCTACGTTTTTCTGTGATGTATCGAACGTGGGAATAGACAGCGATTGAAAAAGAAAGGGGAATCGAGGCGTCGATGAAACTTGCAGCACCGTGTTTGTCTCGTTTTTCTTATTGAAATAACATCAAAGACGTTACAGAGTTACGATTTTAAATACAGCAAATTCTTGCTAATTGACGCAATTGACAGATTGTGCCCAAAGCGTTCACTTTGAGAAGAGGAGATACGATTATTCGAGCTTCTCGGCTCGTTTTTTATATACATAACATTGCCAACAACTATAAAAACGAGCCGCAAGGCTCTCGAATAATCGTATCTCGTCTTCCCAAATTGCCTATTTTCGTGTACAATCTGAGCGTCAATTAGAGAGAATTCACTGTACTATCGCAACAAGTTGAAGCATGAAACTTCAATCACTTGTTGGAAAAGTAATTATGATCGTAATCATATCGTTCTTCGCGTGTCGGTTTAATAAGAGAAACGAGACGGTACAATGGTAGAAAGTTTGATTCTTGAAGAACTAAAAACGAGCAAGTTCAAGTTTTGATTTAAAGGTCTGCGCTTGTTGAGGACTCATCAGATGGATGACGGAGATCCTCTGAATATTGCACTTGGTGCCGACTACCTCGAAGGACCACCCACTGTAGTGGGACTCTATTTGTAACGCGCAACCTAAGCGTTACGCGTATCTCTCTATGTGTTCTGTTCTGTTCTGTTCTGTCTGAAAGTCTGTCTTGTCTGTTCTTCTGTGCTTTCTGTCTGTCTGTCTGGTGTTGTCTGTGCTTTCTGTCTGGTGTTGTCTGTGCTTTCTGTCTGTTCCTAGAGGACCGGAGTCATGCCTAATATGACCTCGGTCCTCCCTACTTCTCTTGACCTAGGGTGGGCGGCAAGGAATTACGGTCCAATCACTGCAATCCCAGATCCAGTGAGACTGCCCCAAAACGGTGGGCCGGGAGTTAGGAGGGAGAGTGGCAAAATAACTCCTGCGAGACATCCCGCGCTGATGGGCCTACGTGCCCGAACAATGCCAGACCCAACCGTCATTGACTGGACCGTAATCAAGGACCAGGAGACGTTATGACGGTGCCACATGTGCCCGGGAACGGCCCGGGACAGACCCATACCGTCCGGGTACCCAAGCACATGGCCCCTGCCATAAATCCTGGCCACTTGGCCGTAACAGCGCTGATGTCCAATATCGCGCGTAAAATTAGTCATGAAAATGAATTAGGAAGTCGAGAAGTTGCAAGCAAAAGTTGCGTTTGCTTCGCTTGCATTGGCACGAGTCTCGCCGACACCCGTCCCCTCGATGATTCGGTCACCGAGCGTATTAAACGCTCGACTGGTTCCCCAATGGTGGGGATACAAATTTGTCAGTCATGGTAGAGATCTTTTCGCCGGTTATGGAGAGAACACTCTGTTTTGAACGTCGCCTCGAAAGAGTCGCGAAATTCGTTAACCGGTTATTATCGCGATCGGATGCAACAATCGTTTGATATTGCTTGTCCGTCTGGTTGATACGAATTTCAAATTATGCGTTACATATTGTGGCGAAATATTATTTACAACTGACAAGATGAAGCGTGTTAATCATGTGCGAAGCATTTACAGTGAGCCACAAAAGTGTTCGTACACCTTTTAAAACGCAATAAATTTTCCAGAACTGACTAAATGACTTGAACTTTTTTGAATGACAGAGGGACTAGTTTACTAGACGATGGCTAGAACTATTTTTTTTATAAATTTTCCTATTACTTCGAATGAAAAGAAAATATTAAATAACCTTGTTTTTAAACTTTTCTCATCCGAGCCTGTAACGAAAATTTAAAAAATGCCTTTCGTATTGTATATCTGATCGAAAACGATTAACCCAGAGTCGAGCTTGTACAGGTATTGAAAGATATTAAAAACTGCATGTTTCTTCCAGTTTTCGGTGAAAATCGTGATAAAGCTGCGATTTTTGCGATCTTTAATTTATTGTAACTCATAACAACGCGTGAATCGATTTCGATAAAATTTTCAACACGCGTATAAGTTACCGAGATCTACGAAAGACATCTTTTTAAATTCTCGTTATAGGCTCGGATAAAAAAGTTAAAAGACGAGAGATTTGCATTTCTTCGTCATTCCAAGTAACAGCAAAATTGAAAGAGTAAGCATTTCGGTAATCGTGTACTAAACTAGTCCCTCCATCGTTAAAAAAAAAATATTCAAGTCGTTCAGATCAGTTTTAGAATAGTTATTGCATTTTGAAAGGTGTACGAACACTTTCGCGTGGGCGATTGTATGTCACTGCAGGTCTTCGCACCATTTCAGTAACAATGATAATATTGAAACATTTAGTGATCTTGGGATCGCCGGCCACCGACGACCCCCGTGGCATTCAACGTGTTGAGACCATTTGCAATTCCATTGCCTGCGAATCGACGCTCTTGACGACAAACGTGCACAGTCCTATGTACAGTGTACTCTGTCCTGTGTACACTGCTAGAATTAGGCATTATTCGAATTGTTTCGAATCAATGTTTCCGCAGGATATTTAGCCGAATACATTCTTGATGGTCGAATACATCAATATTTATTTGTTGCGTCCATTGCGGTAGAACGGTCGGCTATCCGGCTCTACAATGCTCGAACTCTCCGTTGTCCAAAGACATATATGTGCCGCATGTAATCAGCACAATGCAACCCATATATGCAAAACCAATTCACTGTACGAAACAACGAAGATGAACTCTAGATGAATACTAATTTCAAAATAACTTTCGATGACAATTCGACGAATATTATTAAACAAACGTGTCGAAGTTTGAAAAGTTCTATTTAATGGACAAATCCATTTCACTCTGAGTGTACGAGTCAAGGTCGCGTCAAAATTAGCTATATAGGAAGAGGATCGTTAACTGGCGTTTATACAAAAGGACCCGCCGTCGGCTCTAATATGAGCCGTTTATTTTGAAAGTGGCATAAGTCACTTTTTCAAAAAAATTGAGTTAATGGTAACGCTAATTACAATTGAACGGTATCTTTTCATTTAAAAAGAAAAAAAAAAGTTACTTATGCCACTTTCAAAATAAACGGCTCATATGAAGTGATAAAATATCAGGTGCTCGTTTCAAAAAGCCACGCCAAGTTTGACGTGGCCTTCACCTGCCCACTTTAGGTGAAACGAATATGACCGTTCCGTAGAACTTTTGAAAGTGTGACACTTTTGTCTGAAACATTGTTTTCAAACATATTTTGGTTCCGAGATCATCGACCGTTCCTAGACTCTTAGGGAACCATCTTTCAAAGCTATTAACTCGGATCTCTTAAAAACATCACGTCGACTTTGATGTGACTAACGATCTGTCCATTCAAATTCAAACAGTTAACGACCGTTGAATAGAATGTTTAACACTAGATTTACTCCACCCGCCGAGTACTCTAAATCCTTAAAGTTTTGAACCACTTTTTTTTAACACACTATTTAATTTGTAATGTAACAGATTAAGAAAGTAATGGAAAAAAATATCAAAATTTAAAAAATATCCTTTCCAAGTTACAATGAAATTGAAGAAAAATTTCTGAATACAATTGAAATTATCGTGGACAAAATTTGCGAACTATTTAAATTCCTTTTGAATATTGTTTATTTTACAATAATCCATTATAACTACAGGGTGTCCCAAAAATGTCTCGTAATGCAGAAATGGGGGTTAGCTGAGGTGATTTGAAGCAACTTTTTCCTTATCGAAAATGCGATCCGCGGCTTCGCGTTTACGAGTTATTAAAGAAAAGCCTGGACCAATCGGAGAGCGAGTGCGACCAGTGCTCCGCCCTTGCGGCCAATCTCGCGTCGCGCCGGCCGTATGACGCAGCGGCGGAGGTCGCGAGGGCGTGGCGCCAGCCGCACTCGCTCTCCGATTGATCCCGGTTTTTCGTTAATAATTTGTAAACGAAGCCTCGTAGAACATTTTCGCTAAGGAAAAAGTTGCTTCAAATCACCTCAGGAATCCCTCATTTCCGTATTGCGAGACATTTTCGGGACACCCTGTATAATAGGTAGAAGAAAAGACGGAAGAATGTGTAAATATCATAATAATATCTTTTCTAAGAGTTAAAATAAATTTATATGGTTTTTAATACCAGGTTTACGGAATCCGTCAAAATGACGAATATTATTTATTCAATTTATATGTTACTTACAGCAAATGTTACAGTAGCACTTGTTAAAAATCAGAATAAATATCTTATTGTTATTTCCGTAAACTAATATAAAACAGCTGTTTTTTGTGTTCCGTAAATCTAACGTTGATATCTTCACGATTTTACGTAAAACATTTTCTCCGAAGTTTCGAACTTTCCGAGCCAATCGATCGTTCCGAAACGTTTAGAGTATCCGGCAGCTTTGGCGAAGTTAACGAATGAAATGGCTCACCGTGCGTCTGCAGCGAGCGCGCTAACGAATTTCGAAATACGTACCACGATCTCGGTATCTGGACCGACGATTTTCTGCCACTTGGACTTAATGGCAGCCCGGATCTGCGGCGTGAGCTCGCTCGATGGATCGCTCAATAAAGCTTCGACGTTCGCAGCGTCGTCCAGCTCGTCCGACGCCCTTTCACGATCCCCTTCATGGAGAACCGCGCTGTCCACCGTTGTATGGGACTCGCCTTCCGGTTCTATTTCGGTGGTAGTTTCGCCGTCCTGCGACAGAACAGATTCCCCGCGTAACGGCCGATGGACAGATCCGACCTTCGATCGGGTTATAAATCTGCGTCTAGACGCCGGACCTTCTCGTCCTGAATGAATTATTTTATGTATCGGCGGATTACACCGATTCTCGGTCGCTGTGAAATATTAAATCTTGTCCGGCGCTCCCCGCGCGCTTAGTATGTAGGTCACAATCCCACGGACGCGAAAAGAATTTCTTCACGTTCATTAATGACCGGCTGTAAAAACCGCCACTCTCTATTTTTAACCTCGTTAAGTCCGTGTTTCAAATTCGTCTAGTTTCCGTTTCTAGGTTTCGTTGTGGAACCTATGTCTCGAAGTTTTTATTCGTAAGCTCTACGGAATTCGCGAATTCGGTATTAGAAAATTGAAGGAATTTTTGTCATACTTTAGGAACCACTGATTTTTACGTGTTTAACCGTTCGAGTCCCGGGGGTCATTGGAAAAAACACGGTCGAAAAATGTCGAACAGCGCGATAGCATTTGTCTTGATACGCGTGCTAACAATAAATATTTCAAGTTTTGTTCGAGAAAAATGATCGAAAAGATAACAATGAAATACAAAATGTGTTGTCGGTAAATTGAGCGTGCTACTTCGATTTGCAAATGTCAATCGAAGTCAATGTTGTCTTCGGTCTGTGAGCCAGTTGTCCATAGCGTTCAAATGTCCTGGGACTTTCTGACACAAAATCGAAACAGCGCGATCGCGCTGCTTGGGACTCGAACGGGGACTCAAAATAACCCTCGAACAGTGGATCTTTCTGATAAAATATAACCGGGTATACTCACGTATCTTTTTATTTATCAATTTTTGGGCGATCTTTCTCATGCGATTTCTTTGTGCGTTTTTTTTCTGCGGTCCCTATCTACCGCACACGAATAGGTTTGACTGTTCTCACGTACTGCATACAAAAATCGTATAAATTAAATCACAGAAAAAATCGCATAAATTAAACCACACAAAAAAATCGCATAAATTAATTCACACAAAAAAATCGCATGAAAAGGACCGCACAAATGCAGGTTCGACTGTTCTCATATACCGCATAAAAAATCGCATAAATTAAATCGCACAAAAAATCGCATAAAAACCAGGTTTGACCGCATAGTATTCTTTCCAGATACGTCAATTTTTCTGTCGGCTTTGTGAAAACGTGTGAAAATTGAAATTAGTTGTCAGAAACTTGGCATTAGGATATCAATTTTTCCAAATAAACAATTAATAGAACTTGGATCAAGAAAATTTCATATTTCTTGTTCGATATATAAATATGAAGTTAATTATATCTGAAAATAAAGGCACAGCGATTGGCTACCGCACAGTAACCGGCTCCACCATCGGATCGCTGAACCCGAAATATTCATTCGAAGCTCGGGCGAATTGTCGAGTTTTTCGCAGTTGATTTGAGAGAACGGGGTTCAGCGGTTGGCGGCCAGCGTACTCGAAAACAATGGCCGCAGCCTGAATTCGAATGAACGTATCGATTATGCCGAAGTAAATGAAACTCACAGCACTAATAGGGAAGCTGGGTAGACTCGTTATCGACGGTGAGCTCGGCTGCGGCAGTCTTAGCTCGCTAGCCGCGATCGCCTGCTGAAGCTGCTCGTACTTTGGTCCACGTAAGTATCTCTCCAGGCATAGAGCAACCGTTTGCCCGGTTCGCCTTAAAACTTCGACGGCCTCGTGATTCGAGTAACCCTGTAAAGAATGGCCGTCCACCTCGACTATTCTATCGTTTATTTGGATCTTGTTGCTCAAGTCCGCCGCGCTTCCCTCGCTGATGCTTTTCACGAAAATCCCGGACAGCTCCTCTGCAAAGAAACCAACGGGAACGGATTTTAATTAAAAAACCCTCCCGGAGCCCCGGAAGTTCTATCAACCGGCCAACCAGACGATTCTTTTATCGCGAAAGCTTTCGCAGTAGACGATCGCCGAATAAGATCGCGTACTGGCTGCAACCAGACTTCTCGAATGATTTCAGAGCGGAATTTCAGTTCTTTGGTAAGCGAGCATCGATTTGTTTCGTCTACATTTTAGAAACGTCTTTGGGAAGTCTTCGGCCGGAATTCAGAATACAGTCAAGGTAATCGGTGAAGCGAATGTTGTCGCTTCGAGCTTCGAAATCGTTTCGTAGCTGGTTGGCATGATCGAAAAGAAACCGATTTGAAAAGAGACCAATCGATTCGTATCTCGAGGAGGAGATTCTATTTTTTGGCGCATTTATTTGAAATGAAAATAAAAAATAACTATTTGAAGTAATTCATTTAGAATCTTCGATGCCGTTACTCGAAAGTAGAAACAATGTCGATCCATTTGAAACAACAGCAATCTTATTTGCGCGGAATTATTTCGTTAGGTAACAGATGATTTTGTTTCAAGGAACATTTACATCGCCTTTTCGACCATATCTTGAAAATAGTCGAACATGTTTGATCGACGTTGTTTCAAAATTCTCCGGAAGTGCAAACTTGCGATCATTTTGCGAACAAATATAGATGAAATTAAAATTCATACTGCAAAAGATAAATAGAACGATCTATCCATTCGAATGAAAAAAAAACGTTTCGTGACAGTCTCGAGGATTATTCTTCTCGCAAACGTAAATTGTCGGAAAATACAAACTTACGGACCGACCCGATCATTTTGCAAACAAATATAGTTCAAATTAAAATTCATATTGCAAAAGATAAATAGAACGATCTACCAGTTCGAATGAGAAAAAGAACGTTTCGTGACAGTCTCGAGGATTATTCTTCTCGCAAACGTAAATTGTCGGAAAATACAAACTTACGGACCGACCCGATCATTTTGCAAACAAATATAGTTCAAATTAAAATTCANTGTTTCAAGGAACATTTACATCGCCTTTTCGACCATATCTTGAAAATAGTCGAACATGTTTGATCGACGTTGTTTCAAAATTCTCCGGAAGTGCAAACTTGCGATCATTTTGCGAACAAATATAGATGAAATTAAAATTCATACTGCAAAAGATAAATAGAACGATCTATCCATTCGAATGAAAAAAAAACGTTTCGTGACAGTCTCGAGGATTATTCTTCTCGCAAACGTAAATTGTCGGAAAATACAAACTTACGGACCGACCCGATCATTTTGCAAACAAATATAGTTGAAATTAAAATTCATACTGCGAAAGATAAATAGAACGAGAAATGTCCATTCGAATGAGAAGATGAATGTTCCGTGACAATCTCTTGGATTACCCTTCTCGCAAACGTATCCAGCGATGGTGATCCCAAGGCCGTAAATGTCTTTCTTAAGCTCGACAGTGAAGCGTTCCATTTCTGGCAGTGAGTTAACGTCGATGGTGTCCATGGTGAGAACCGGTAGCTCCGGGATTTGCACCGGAACAGCCGGTATCACTGGCATTGCTCCAATTGGCATCGGATTGCGTACTACGTCCATGATGAGGCCAGGCCTTGCCTATGAAATTGCGAGTCCTTGCAAAAGAGCTCCTCTACGTGCGGATATTATTAAGATAACGAGGAAAAAAAAATGGAATGGCCGACCGATGGATACTCTTTCCAGGCCTGTTACAGTGGGATCTAAAACTGTGCTGAATTTCCAAGGTTAATGGGAGAAGTTACCTACATCGGCGCTATTTAACATGCGCATAGAAAGTTGCGATTACTAAGAATCGATTCTAACATACTGATTTTATCGGAAAATAATGCTAAATCTCCATGCGAGTGGTAAGAAAAATATTTGTATGTAAGCGTGGATCGTAATCCAAGCAGAAATCGCGTTTCTCTAAAGCGTGTTTTTTAAAATGATATCAGAAATATTTGATCAGCCAATGAACAAATAAACTGTCATCTGTTCTGCAGAATACACTTTTATGCTGATAAGATTGTCGCTTTTCGTTCACGAATCAACCGCGATGAACGCTAGTTTCATTCGTTTATTATACAAAATATCTCGCACTAATTGCTCCATTTCCATCGTTGTTCAAATTTTCTGATGCTGCTTTTGATGTTATACACAAGGCTATGTTTCTTAAAACGACTACAGTAATGTCTCACTAATTGGCGCACAGATTGTTCACAGGAATGGACAATTTGGGAAGAGAAGATGCGATTAATTTGAGTCTTGCGCATCGTTTTTATAATTTACCGATTTTCAATAACTGTAAAAACGAGGCGCAACACTCGAACAATCGTGTCCCCTCTTCCCGAATTGTTCATTTTCGTGGGCAATCTGAGCGTCATTTAGGGAGACATTACTGTATTTCTGTTCTTCGTACGCTTAATTATATTATTTCTGATCAGGGAACCTCTTTTTCGGCCAGTGCATTCCGTGATTTTTGTGCAGAAAATCATATTGAATTGCACTTTACATCAACGGGCAATAGTAGGGCGAATGGTCAGGTGGAAAGAACAATGAGCTCGTTACAAAATTTATTATTCGTAATTTTAGGTCACCCTGAATATTGTACTACATGTAAGCTTACAAATGTTATCTCATAAGTAGTCGCTAATTGCTATAAAGCAGATGCGACATTAAATAAATGAAATAAAAACAAAGAAATAAGGCTGTAAGAATTGCTCAATGGACTATAATTGTTTCCATGGAAATTAAATTCCATTATTATTCCGTTTCGAATGATCGTTGCGTTTATTAACTAGAGATACGAGGGGTTCAAGTAGGCCACAGAACGGATAAAGGCACCGATGCCGCTAAAACCAAAGTAGGGAAACTGTCGTTGAAAATGCAAGGATGCTGCTCGCCCCTCGTAGGGACGGTAGGGAAACTTTCTTCGTAACTTTCTTTAGAAGTTGTGCGGTCTCCTTCAGTTTACGGAATAGATAGCGCTAATAGAATTAGAACAAATGCGGAGGACTAATAGGGATAGAGGAAGAACACACGAGCTTCAGAAGTTACCGCAAGTTCGAAGCGAAGCAGCAAGCTGCCCCGTTGTGGAATGATAAACTTCCCCAGAAATTTTCCCCACTCGTAATTTCAGTTTTCCATAGAACTTCTCGACGTCCTCTTGAATACTCGAGCCATAAATAATTAGCATAATACATAATTATTATTTATTAAATATTAGCAATTCTTCTAATTCATACACGATGTCGATGAACGTTTCGAAGATGTACATTTGAGGCTCCGATTGAGAAGACGAATTGCTGATGTATATAATACTATCGATGTTGCGGATTTTTTCACAGAGATTGAGATAAAAAAATATCGAAGTTAATGAACGGGTGAACGAACGTCGAACAGTCTTTTAAAAAAACCGAATTCAATTAGTACCGGAACATGATTCGATTCGTTATCTATGTTTAAATAAATCGTATCATGAAATTGTTATACATCAATATATAAATTAGTCGCGTTTAAGGCTCAATAGTTCTATTATGTTAATCTCTTGCGCTATAATATCGTGGCAGACTCGTCATGGATATTTGGAACATAATCTACTAAATGTGGAAGTTATTCGCGTCTATTAAATCGAAAGACAAGTCTGTCCTTTTATTATCAATTGTTATTTAACGCTTTTAGTGCCGACCAACATGCTGCGTCTACTCGTATTGTAAAATATCAAACCTGGTTGATGCAGTTTGATAAAATTTTTAAAATAAATTATGCAAATTTTGTTAAACCCGATAAGTAGAAAAAATTTAAAAAGAAACGGAAATGTAGAAATAAAACTATTATTTATTAAAAATGTTGAAAAAGGAACATTTTCTCAAAGTGTAGCCGACAACGATGGTTGGCAAATAGAGAATATAAATTATTTGTCTCGAATTTATTAGTGACGAATAATGAACGTGAATGAATTGTGAACGAAATTATAGCGCAAAAATAACCTCGAAATACCTCCGATCTTGATCAGTGCTGTTCATTTTACAATTATTCGACAGACTAGAATCGACTTCGATAAACAAAATTATTCTCTTCCCATTTGTCTCTGTAACTTTTCTATAAAGTGCAAGTTACCTAACTGTACTACCTTAAATTTCTTACAAAACCATCCGCTGTATAAACTTTTCCGCAGTAACTGTATACAATAAATTTTGCCTAATTTTCCTTCAACTTATAAACAAAAATGGAGAATTTGGGAAGAGGAGATACGATTATTCGAGCCTTGTACTTCGTTTCTAAAATTGTAGACAATCGGAAATTATAAAAATGGTGCCGCGAGACTCGAATAATCGTATCTTCTTCTTCTTCTTCTTTTTGTTTACAAGCTGAAGGAAAATTCGACAAAAATTTACTATAATTTCCTACAAAGTGTCACTTTGAATTTTCAAAATACATTAAACAACATTTGATAAAATTTGCGCACTATTATCATCACAAACGTCTTTTACACGTCGACACGAAAGTATAATATAACAGAGATTAATTATTACACCATAAGCACTTTCGATCTACTTTGATAATAAGTGTTACAAGCGTCTGTCCTCAAAATTAACACGATATTGTAGTGCGGCCTCAACAGTATCGATTACAGGTTGAGCATCCGGCTTAATTGACCGAAATACATCAGTTATTCATGCTTCCAAATTTACCAGGACACTATACCATATAACAGTAAGTTTTCACAGTCGACTGTAATAAGTACGAGCCAACTGACAATTTATTCTTTACTTTAACAATTTCAGTAGATCGAAAATACAGTAAATTCTCCTCAATTTCCTTTCAGCTTGTAAACAAAAATGGACAATTTGCAAAGAAGAGATACGATTATTCGAGCTTCGCGGCTTATTTTCATAGTTGTCAATTGTCAACAATTATAAAAACAAAATGCAAGACTCTAATAATCGTATCTCCTCTTCCCGAATTGTCCATTTTCATTCGTTCACAAGCTGAAGGAAAATTCGGGAGAATTTACTGTGCACCGACGTCCTCAAATTCGGAAATCTTTCGACTCTCTTGAATGATCTTGCAGCACTCGTGCTTGCCACAAATACACAAAATCGAATAAGAACATTCGCAAGCGTAAGTGACATAAAACTTTGACCAAGCGATTACCTCCCGCTGCCCAACTTTAAAACCGTTCAAAACTTCATCAGAAAGAAAAGTTGCGATCGACCAGAGCCCTGGACTGCGGAGGCAGGCGACCCGAGAGCTGAACATATAGGGTGTTATCATTTCCCCGAAGTACCATAACTTTGGCGACACTCTGTATTTCGAATAAAGAAGAATTGCGTTGCGTTTTCAATTGCTTTTGAAAGCGTGCACCGATCATGTCACGCCGTAAACCATTTTAGCAGCGTCCGCGACAGCGAATTGTATAGTTTTAGACAAGATAGTAATACATAGTAGTAGTAAATAAATATTTTGCTATAAATATTTTGTAGTCACTATTTTTTTTTGTCTATTTCAATTATTTTATTTTTTTATTTATGTCTATATTAATTATTGTATAATTTTAGACAAGACAGTAGCAATAGATAGTAGTAATAAATAAATATCTTACTGCAAATATTTTGCAATCACTATTTTTGTTGTCCATTTCAATTATTTAATATCGAATGAAATGGTTTTGATAAAGTAGGTTAAACCTCGTCTTCCTGCTCTATATATCGACAAATAATTGTTCTCTAGTAACGAGCAAATTCGGTGAAAATAAAAACTTGCATCGCTCCGTTCCACTTGACCGCAAACATTTTCACCCTCTTTCACTATTTATATTCTTTTTCCTTACGTGATACTCGCCATCGACTTCCATTTTATCGTTGCAGTTTGTCGTTGACACATTAAGCGCCGAATATTAACTCGAAAAATTCGCATACTATCAAAGTCATTTAATTAATGACACCGAAACTAGAAAGCGAACATTTACCATAGGAAATATTGGTTCGGCTGTTTTGTATTCTACAAATCCTTAGTAACATTTAATTTGTTCAATATATTACAATAAAAATGAATTTCGAAAACCTAGTTAAAAATTAGTGTCACCCATACGCGACTCGCGCGGCACTAAACGTATTAAGAACATGTTGTAATAGCACACATCAGAATATTTGAATATGTAAGCAAAATATTTTTATACATTACCACGCATGTCAATTGGGGCTAGTCGAGATACACATTCTAAATCACAGCCCAAATGCTGTATTATATGTTCGTCCGAACTGTGACTCTGACGAGTCGTTTGACGATATTTAATTTTTTTTGGTTTGAGAGGTTATTTCTATTAGATTTAAGTAAAGTTGTTCCTAAATTATCATAATATCATTTTCACTTTACTGTAATACATCAACGTTTGTGCCGAAGATAGTATATTTTTTCTTTAAAAAAATCAAAAAAAAAAAATATATATATATATATATATATATATATATAAATATATAAATATATATATATATATTTTTTTTTTGGTTTTTTTAAAAAAATTTTATATATAAATATATATTTTATATATATATATATATATATATATATATATAAATAATATATATATATATAAATATATATTATAATATATTTTTTAATTATATGTATATTAACACT